TTCCCCGTCCCTCTCTCAGTGACAGATAACCAAAGGAGTCCCCGGCTTCGCGCCCCCGGAGACGCCCCCTCCTCCCCTCCCGCCCTCGCGGTGCCCAGGGAGCCAGGAAAGCCTTACGGTCCTTTGACGGCGACTCGAAAGCTCACAGCTCGTGTGCTGCAGAATTTATTCCAATGAGCAGCTAAAAGTATCATTTAAAAAAAAATAACAAAAAGAAAAAATGACAAAAAAAAATACTAAAAAACAATTATTTAGGGTGTTTGTGATTGCTGACTGCGCTGTAGATACCACTGTTTACCAATGAATTCCTGTGGTGGGATAGTGGACTGTTTACTGTTCTATTATACCAGTCCCCGGGCCCTCCGGTGGGACCCCCGCGTTCCCCGCGGCTCCCCGGAAGGTGCTAGGACGTGTGTTCTGTGTTAGAAAGTTTTTATATATATATATATATATATAAATATATATATATAATTTTTTTTGCTCTGTTACTTGCACATTTTACAGTTACCTCATTTTTCCCATGTATGTATTTGAAAAAAGGCTAATATATAGAAAAAAAAGGTTCTTAAAGCTCTAAAAGTGTTTGTTTTTTTCCATTCCATTGGAATCATATTGGTTTTGTAGCATTTAACATAACTAGTATGTTGTATTATATATATGTGTATTATACTGATTGAAATTTTTAACAGATTTGTACTTTTTTTAAAATGAAAGTTGCTAGTTCTGCTTGACCAAGTAGTGCAATCATTATTTTTTTTAATGTTGTGGCTGATTTTGAGAGGGATATTCACTAATAAATGTATGATGTATACCAACAGGCTGGGCCCAGCTCTTGTCTCCATGGGGGCTTGGGGGGGAGCGTGGGGGCCAGGGATGGGAAGGAGCTGCTGCAGCTGGAAGGGCCCTGGGGAGAGGCTTGGAGCAGAGCCCGAGGGTGGGAGCAGGACTGGGTGGCTGCTTTGCCCCAGCAGGATCTGCTTTTGAGCAGCACCACACACTCCTGCTCACCTAGTGACCCCTCACAGCTTGCACAGGGATGGGAAATTCCTCCTGGCTGCTATCCCAGGACAGCAGAGCGACACCTTCCACCTCTGCTCCAGCCCTCCCATGCTGGGCCAGGGAAGGGGCCAACCCTGTGTTCCTTCCACTCCAACCGTTCTTGGCTCCAGAACAGGTCACTGCAGGAACAGGCTCCGGCCCCTCTGCCCTAGGGCAGCCCGGGCAGGAACCAGCCTGACACTCCCACACCTTTTCCACCTCCCACCTGCTCCACGAGGCTGACCCAGCCTCCCTGAGCCCAGAGCTGATGCCACAGCACAACCCCAGCCCTGCCATGCCCCGTGCTGGGCACACTCTCATCTCATCCAGCAGCTCCATGGGCACACAATCAGCAGTGTGAGAGCAGAGGCTGAGTGCACCCACACTCCTGGGAGCCACAAGTGCCACAGCAGGGCAGAAAGCAGCAGCACAGACATGCTAGAGGCAGAGTTTATTACACTACGCAGGCTAAGAACCCTGGGCAAGGCCCCACATGGGTAAGAATCGAACCAGCTCTTTATCAAAAAGTTAATACTATAGTCAACCCCAATCTCCTTTGGTCATTACAAAGCAAGAGAAATATTAAAAGAACAGTATTTATACACAGAGGGAAGCTGAAGAGAGTCTGTCCAGCCCTTTCCCCCCACCCCAATCCCAGCACGTTCCGGAGCTCGGTCTTGTGTCTCTCAGGAGCAGCAGAGTATCAAATCTTCACAAGATGTTGGGTTGCTGGGGTTTTATTATTATTGTCATCAATAAAAGCAATAATTACCAAGAGCTGCCATTCCTGTTCCTCCCCAGGGAGGGCGGAGGGGCAGCAGCAGCTCCCCCTGTGTGCCCCCCGGCGCAGGGGATGGCCGTGTGTCCTCTCGCCAGCGCGCACACGGCTGGCACGGGCCATGTGGTCTCTGATCCCTCGTTTGTACGCAGTCTTTTAAAAAAAATATTGTATTATAATAATAATATGAATTTCTCTTTCCGTTTTGTGTCTTCTGGAAAAAAAAAACAAAAAAAAAAAACCCAACGAAAAAACAAAACAAACAAAAACAAAACCAAAAAGGAAGTGTCAATCGTCCGTGAGGTCCTGCACAAAGAGGACTTCCGTGTGGCTGAGTCCCGCCTCCTGCAGCGTCGGGGGGTTGGGCCACTCCTCTGTCGGGAGGCAGGGCAGGACACGGCGAGGGAAGTTGGCCTCAATCTGGAACTTCTCAGGGCTTTCTTTCAAGGAGAACAGGAAATCGTGGATCACCTGGGAAAGAAGCACAGAAATAATCGCCAGCTGGGGGAGCAGTGACACAGCCAGAGTGAATTCTGGCATCTCGTGGGGGAAGGCTCCCAAATTTGCACCATCACTGTACTGTAGACCTGAGACAGCCATTTCCTTGGCACACATCAAACTGGGCTTGGCACAGAGCACTGGGGAGACCAGACTGTTTCTGACTCTTCCTTACACCTTTATTTCATGGAGAGCAGTGGAATTAGAATAGAATATATATATTCTATATAATTATAGAATGTTAAGGGTTGGAAAGGACTCAAAAGATCATCTAGTCCCACCCTGCTCTTGGGAAGGACTAGAGATCATGGGCAGAGACACCTTCCAGCTTTTCAGAAGGCAAAAAAAGCTTCTGCCACTTTTTCTGCTCTTCCAAGCTGGTGGAACCAGGCCCTATAGCACTCTCCTTACCAAGGAGCAGCTCTGCCTGCCAAGGCTCTCAGCAAAGGCCCCCATTTGGCAAGTCCAAGGGAAAAAAGCCACCTGCAATTCTCTTTACCCATGTTCTGGAAGGCCCCTCAGCTCTGCCCCTACTCACCGTCAGTGACTGTGTGAAGTGGAATCGCCGCTCCACTCTGGAATCGTTGGGCAGCTTGAAAATGATCTTGACGCTCTCTGGGTCATCGGGGTGTGGCTCTGGAGGAAGGCACTCCGACCTCCTCTCCTTCTCCTCCTGCAGTGTCTGCAAGGCAAGGAGGGACAGGAGCACTCAGCTGACCTTTGTGCCTGTCCCCTGCAGCACAGCTGCCCCAGGAGCCTCGGGAATGCTCGAGCCCTGAGCAAGACAAAGCAATTCCTCCTGCAGGCCAGGCATCCCAAGGACACTGCAGCCCCTCTGCTCTCACCTGCCGCCGCCTCTCCTCTGCCAGTTTTTGCTGCTGCACTTCCTCCTCCTTCTTCTTCTTCCTCTCCCTTTCCTCCTTCTTCTTGCGCTCCTTCTCCTGGTCTGCACGCAGGGATGCCAGGTAAGCCTCGTCCTGCTGCTGCCTCAGCACCTGGGTTTGGTTCCTCTCTTCCCTGCAGACACGAGTGGGAACTGGTCAGGGCTAACAGGCCCTGGAGTGAGGGGATGGAGGCTGAGGGCAGGCCCGAGGGGGCAGGGACAACCTCCAACTCACAGAAGCACACAGCAGGTAATGCCTTGGGGTACCACAAGCTCCCAAAAGGCCAAGCCAGGTCCCCACAGTCCCTCTCAATCAAACTGCTTCCAAGGGTGGGTAACCCTTTAAAAGGCTTCTGAACCTCTGCAGCTTGGCAGAGCTGACAGTCAGCACAAGAACAATGCCTGGGATTCCTGCCTCGAATCTGAGACTCCTCCTGGTTTCATCTCCTTCAAGTAATTCCTTGCCCATTTCATACACTGGAATGTGTTACTGGGTCCCCACACAGGGCGTGGGGCAGAGGAGGGACAGACAGAAGTCAAATGGTAGGATCCTGTTTTGGATGCAACCTGTACATCCCTAAGAGTCACCAGGTACTTGTGAGGCCCCACCAGAAAAGCAGCCAGAGCTCAGCACAGCCAGCCCAGGCAGCAGCACACAGCTGTGGACACCAGCTCTCCTGCCTGCAACGCCTTTGCTCCCACTTGGATCCTACAGGTTATTGTCCAAGCTTTCCCTGCAAAGCTCCAGCATGCCAAAGGTGTGCTCCAGCTGCAGAGAGCAGAGTACTCACATCCACCTTTCAGTGGTGGGACTGTGTGTGCAACACATCTGGCTCCCTGGCTATAAGATGGCCTGAATGTATGCACTGATGGTGCCCCTGGTAAGAGGAGAGCCCGTGGGCTGTGTGACAGAAGGGGAGGTGCTGAGCTGAGTGCCTACACTCGGTGTCTGAGGGAGGCAGGGCACAGCTGAGCCTGCCTCGGCACGGTTTGTGCTGCCGGAGCTCCGGTCCCCCCGTACCTCTCGAGGCGCTCGGACACCAGGTACGTCTGGTTGGCATCCATGATGAACATCAGCTGGTTGATGAGGTCGTCAGCCTGGATGAGCCCCTCGAGCCGCCCAACCACGGTCATCCTGCGGTCCTTGAGCATGATGACGGCCAGGAACGGGTACGTGTTCTCCCGCAGCGCCTGCGACACTGAACAGGCACAAACGTCACCACCCCGCACCGGCGCCACCAAGGGTGCAGCAGAGGGGCTCCCCATCACTGAGGGACAAGGACAGCACCTTCCCCAGATATTCTCTCTTCCAAGGCAAAAAAGGCCTCAGGCTCCATTTTGAAAATCAAGCCCTGTAAGTTAGCAAAGGGAGGAAATGGCTTTGGGAGCACAAAGACCAATGGGGAAAAACCCAAGCTTTCAAGTAACCAAAAAAGGCACTTTTAACTCAAGCAGGAAGGAAGTAAATGGCTCTGAATGCCCATTGAAAATAGGACAAAGCCATGGGTTTAAACTGCAGGAAAAGAAACACAGGACAAGTACATGTAAACATTTGCTCAGGTGATTAGGGATGGCTGGAGTCTGGAAGAAACTGTCATGGGGGAGATGGCAGTATGTCCACATTGAACATTTCTAAACAAATTAGGAATTTAGGTTGGTTTTGCTGGAGGCAGGCTCTGTCTGATGTAGGGAATGGAACAGATGATGTGCTTAAGACTGCTCATATATGGCTGTTGATCCCCTCCTTGAAACACACATGGTGCATCATGCAGCTTGGAGCCTCTGTTACCAATGGAGCCTCTGTTACCAATGGAGCCCCCCAAACAAAACCACAGCAGCTCAAGGATTAAATGGAAGGTCGTGGTCCCTTCCAGCTCTGCTTCCCAGGCTGTGACTCCAAAGCATTGCAGCAATGAAACAGGAATAAGTCAAAGACTGTCTCCTCAGAGAGCTGTTCTCTCCAGTTGTTGATAACTGGGAGCAGAACTATGGAGCGAAGAGTGACCCAGAGGTGGCATTTTCCTGGCCATGAAACCAGAAATGGTGAGAACAACACAGGAGCCATTAACAGAACTTTGGGAAAAGGCTCCACTTGCAGCAAATCCTTACCAAACTGCTGCTTGGCCAGGTATCAACACTCCCAGACACTGTGGGCTTTTGAGGAGACACAGAGATTGGCTGTGGATTAAGGTGACTGTCTCAGAAAGGGAAAGAAGGCGCCTAACAAGTCCTTCCTGGCCTCAGGCAGCACAGGAGCCAGGGTTAAGGACAGATCTAGTTGGACACTTGTTTCTCCACTCAGTTTATCCCCAGCACACACCCACCAACTCCCATTGACAAGGCACTGAAAGCAGCCTAAATGCCCACAGCAATGAGCACAGAACTGCCCAGGAACACACAGAATGGTGGAGGTGAAGATCAGAATGTATTTCCTTGGCACTCAAACCTTTGAGATATCCCAGGAAACCAACACATGTATTTCCCCATGCAATCCTGGAATCTGTTGTATTTTGTGCACGTAGACAAGAGAGTGTTTCATGTGTAAATGTGTCAAAGAGCATCTGGCTTGTTCCAGAGAGAGGAGGGGACAGGTAAAGCCCAGGAGGGACACACTCACCTCTGTATCCCTCTGGTTTATTGGTTGAGCAAGCCCAGAAGAGCATTCTAGTGTTGATGAGGGTGATGACCTCAGGTGCACACAGTGTATTGCTGGGGGATGAGAAGAGACCATGTGAGGGAAGCTGCATTTCAAATCCAAGCACAGCTATGTGGGAAATTCTCCTACCTACCGGCAGAACTCATCTGTGTCCTGGTGGTCATCCCCGTGCAGATACACCAACAGGAAGCGCAGCTCCCGCTTGGCATCGTTCAGTGCCTTGGCAAAAGAGCACAGCAGGTGAAGTTACACAGGATCTGGGCAAGGGGAATGCAGCACCCCCACGGCCTGGGAGACCCAGGCCTTCACTCTGCCACTGGATGGTTTGAGTGAAGCAGCAGTGGAGGATGAACCTGTCAGACCTTCAAAATGAGCCTCTATTTAAGAGGGCTACAGGGGTGTCCTCTCAGGTTGTGGCTTTGGGGGACACTGAGCTCAGAGTGAAGCTGGGCAGGCAATGACAGGGACTGACACCTGAGCTGCCTCCCCAGACTCAGCTAGCAGTGAAAAACCCCCTTCACCCCTTAAGCCTGCACAGGACACAATCCTCAGATCACACCAAATGAAAATTCTATTAAAACATGTAATAAATAATGCTGCAGGCCTCCAAAAAACCAGACAACAAAGAAAAGAATCCCTCCCTTTCCACATCTATAGTGTCTGGATTCCACCCACCCAAGAGCATTTTTAACGAGATCACAGTTTAAGTGCACAATATGCTCCCTGTTTTACTGGCACTGAGTTTTGGTAGCCCAACCATTCTACAATTACTTGAGTTTGGATTCCAGGAATGACTGGAATCATTAGAGGAGCCTGTAAGCGCTGCAGAGGCGGTGAGCTCCATCACTGTGCAGTGTGGAGCAGACAGGCACTGACAGCTTTTCCCCAGGCACTTGGGAAGCAGTGCTGATCCAATGTCTGATGGGATGTCTGCAGGAGACACTTCCCTTGGCCAGGCTGAGAGCAGCTGTGCAAGAGGCAGTGTCCATGGGGATGTTCCTCTTCTACAGAGAGCCCCCTCAGATTTGATATATGGCACACTCACCTCCCACAATTTCTTAGGAGGTCCCTCTCAATGTTGAGGCCCTGAACTATTGTGAAGTTGTATTGTGACACAAGCCCAGGCAGTTAATCCCAATTTGGGGAACAGAAGGACAGACTCTGGCACAGCACACCAGTTTATAAAAACAAAGGCAGGATTACAAAGAAAAGCTGTCGGCTACAGAGTCACACAGACGGTCGAGGAACAGCCAGAGTAGCTTTGCTTTCCAACTTTGCAGGCTTGGCAAACCATCAAGCCTGGCAGACACTGGTTTCCCAACACACTTGTTCACTAGCTCTCCATTACCCTGTTAAGAGAGTCTGGGGATAAATGCTGGGCTTGTAGATGAAAAGCAATTTTGCCATGTAGGCCCTGATACCATGTGGCAAAATGATCACTCCCCAGGACCTGGGCACCAAGACTTGACACTGACCTGGCTGTAAGTTCCCTGGTAGAAGACAGGGTGTATCCTCCCATATTTTTCCTCAAACATATGAATAAACGAAATAATGTCACCCACTGGGTCGGTGACCCGACTACGAGGATCAGGGCGTATAAAACGCAGAGCAAACCTAGGAAGGAAGCAAAGGACACTGCAAATTCAGCTCACTGACTTCTTGAGGCACAGGTTTTCTTTTCTACTGATAGTCACTGGGATTCATAAAGGGGAAAAAAGTCATAGCTGAGACCCCTGAACATTTATAATCTGAAGCTAAACTGGCACCCGCTCCAAACTGATACCCCTGCTACAGAACCAGCCCCCAGGGAAGATTCATCTCATGCCAGGGATCAGTAAGGATCCGAGTTCTGTGTGATTAAACAGCTTCAGCTTCCTCTGAAGCATCAGGCATAAGTCACACACACAACAGGAGGAGGTTTGAAGAATTTAGTCAAAGATGGGCTGTTAAAAGCCACACGGTTTTGTCCAGATAGCTTTGAAAACTGCATTTCTGCTAATCCAGAACTACCAATTCCAATGTACAAAGAGTTGCAGAAAGAGAACATTACACTATGAGTCCTATGAAACTGTCCTTCCTCTGAAGCTGAAACAGCTTCACTGCAAGGCAGAGATCAGTGCTGTTTAGTTCTACTGATGCACAGAAGATACACTGAACTTTGGAAATATCTTTGATGGGGAAAAAAAAGTAATACAACAGGGAAAACTGCTAAACCAGGGCAGATGGCAGGACTGCTGGCTATTGACCACCACTACCATTCCCTTTCCCTCTATCAATGCTGTAAAGGAGACTAGAATCAATGTTTTGGGGCAGTAAAGGGAGAAGAGACACCAAAAGGAATAAAGCAGAGGTGTTTCCAGTTTGGGTTTTGCCAAATACCATCCAGGAATTAGGGCAGGTTAATCTGCAGCCCAGCCCAAGGGGACACGATTCTGATGTTTGTCCAAGAATACCAAACAGCTGGACACTGTTTTGCAACCCCTTTGTGTGGCACTCAGACTGCAAGGCTGAGTGGAGTTAGAGATCCAATTAAACACTTCATTTACAGAGCTGCAAGGTGCTCTGTTTCTCTGCAACAAGATTTATTTCTTCCTAAACAGCATAGGAACTTCACAAGGCCACAGATAATGCCAGTTAAGGAAACAAATGGAAAATCTGCCATGAGGTCTAAAGATCTAAGTGACAGAGCTCCAGCCAAATCCCAGCTAGTGTGTTCCCTGATGCAGTCAATAAGTGAGTCAGCACAAACAAGGACTTACCTAAATATATCAAGTAATGTGTAATAGGTGAATCGGAATGGAAGCATTATGAAGTAGTAACCCCATCCTAACAGGCCCTGCAATTACAAAGAAGGAATTAATTTTCTTACCTATACAAAAAGACTAACAGCACCAAGTCTTACAGGTGCTCGTGCAAATTTGTTTGTACAATATTAATGAAAGTAATACTGTATTCTAATTATTATACATTTAAGGGGGGCTCTAAAAAGAAAAACATTATCACTGCCACATGGAAGGGACAGTCCTTTGTTCCAATTCCACTGATCTAAAGGCTTTACTACACCACAGCAAGACGGTCTATGACAAGAAAAAAAAAGGTCCTCATACTGTGAATCACAGCATGGAAAAAATCTCCACAGCAGTAACAGAAACTGAAGGGATAGCTCTACATTTTGTTTTCGTAAGATAAAATATTTAGAAAGGAGATAACAGCATGCAAAGAAAACAATTTCTTTCCCTGCTTGCAAGTTCTGTATTCATAGCAAGTCAGCCAAGAAGCAGGACAAAATCCAGTGTAAGATAACTTGCCCTTGGCTGTGGCCTTGAGACAACGTAGCTGTAGATCCTGTGGTCAGCTGTATTGACCTGCAGCGGCCGCAGCGGAGGAGGATTGAAGACACTTGGGACACCCTCTTGCTCGTTCAGTCGGTCCTGCACAGCTGCCTGTGACACAACAAAGAGCAAAGGGAGTTTCAGGCATTGTATGGGTTTTATTCTTTGGACAGTGACAGTGGGTATTCCTTGTCCACAGCCCCAGGGCACTGGATAAGCACAGCTCCTGACAAACAGGAACCCCCAGGGCTCCTTTCCATGTGGAAAGGCTTCTCCATGGCAGCCAGCACACAGGCTCCACAGCAGCCACATCCTGCACCACTCAAGGGATTGTTCACAGCCAAAACAACTCTGCTGTGCTTGGCTGAGACCAGCTCTGCAGGTGTGTGGAGATACAGCTCTACAGAGCTACTTGGGTAAATCCAGGGGGGAACAGATTAATCTGACTGGTAGGTCCCCCTCCCACAGAGGGCTGCATTTAATCCAGGTACTTGGAAACTGCTACAAGTCTCATTTTCAGTGGTACCTCTATGTTCCAGTTGTGCTGCTCCAGTGTGTGGCGACATTGGTCCATGGACTCTATGCCAGTCAAGTCCTAAAGGAGGAGAATAAAAGCAGATGAGTGCCACAAGTGCTGCATCCTGGCTGCTCTTAACAAGGCCTGAGCACACGGTGGGAGTTACCACAACACATTATCACAGTGCTCCGTTTTTAAGTGCCCTGCTCTGAGTTTAAGAGCAGAGTGACCTGCAAACACGCAGGAGGCCCCACACAGGCCTTTGCACTCTGCCAGCAGCAGCCAACTCTCAGTGTGCCCAAGGTCTGTCACTACAACAGCACTCAGCACAGTCAAGGGTTTGACACAATACTGCCCACAGGCTCCACTCTGAAAAGATGTGCTGGGCCAATGCCCTCAAACATCATCTTGAACTCAAAATACTGACAAAGCAGTTCTGAAAACTCAAGATGACTGTTACTCCACTCACTGCCAGCATAAACAGAAACTAAAACCAAAACGAGCCAGGCATTACTGAAGGTGATGTTCCCAGCACCAAAGAGGAAGTAAAAAAAAGCACAGTAAACAGTGTAGTAAAAAAAGCAGGAACAGTCCAACACAGGGGCTGAAACAGAAAAAGTCCAAACACACTGACAAACCTCAAAGCCACTGGGAGGATTTTAGCCCTGTGCCAATCAGAATTTCTGCACAAGAGATCAAACCATTGTGTCTGTTATTGCAGGAAGCCACATCAGTATCTCCTGAACAGAGACAAACGTTTGCTGAAGGAACACCCTGTCACCGTGCCACACACATCTGTCCCCACTGCACTTGCTTTAAGGCCTGAGCAGATGTGTTCCTTGCTTTCTTGAAAAGCCCCTGACGGGCTCCTGACCAGTTCAGAATGCACTGAATTGTTTTTTTTACTGGAGAAGGATGGTGCATGTATTCCCCTCCCTGCCCCCATTCATACATTCCACATGCCATTTCCACCCGAGCAACAAACACTGTGCACAAATGCCCTATTCAATCTCTGGGCTCTGTTCAAACTTTTGAGCATTTCTTGGCTTCTTTCTCACCAAGTCTCCACATCACCACCTTCTCTCCAATCTACTGGGCAAAAATCATGGTTTCATTCTGCTGCACAGACCCAATCAGACTGTTTAAAGCACTGTGAGTGCAGAAGTTCAGAAAAAAAAAAAGCACTTCAAGTCACTGTTCAGTGGTGTATAAATATTTATTAAAAAGTAAGTCTGCAGCAAGCCTTGCAAGGGAACACTGCAGAACTGGATTTCATAGAAGAAATAAAGCTCAGTGAACTCAGCTGTTGCTGCTAGAATACCTTTGATTATCATGCAGTTTCATCATTTAATGTTTTAGTTCAGCTATCTTTCTTTGAAGATGTGCTTCATAGAGTAAAATTTAGGGTTTGCATTCTGACTTTATTTTTTCAACCTGAATTCCTACAGCAGGCACTTCATTGTCTTTTTATAAGGACACCATTAAAGGCACCTGCAATCTACTCAATTAATTGATTTTCCAGTCACAATGTCTTTATTGCAGAGCCTTAGAAGTCTTTTGATCCCCACTCCCCAATATTCTGGAAATTCTGGTGGTGTTTACAAAGTTACAAGATTCAGCAGCTCATTTACACCTTTGTTTCTAAATGCCTGGATTATCTGTGAGCACTAAGAACACCACCGAGCATTCTCTCCTTTTTAAATTATGCAAAATTCTTCTGCAGTTTTAGGTCAGAAAGCAGCAGAGCTATCAACAAGCATTTAATGAGCACTGAAACACTGCAGCATTTGCAAGAGCATCTGAGTTCCACAGAGACACCGGAGCCAACCAACTCCACCCTTTGTGACCACCACCACAGTGACAGGCAGCCCCAGCCGCTTCTCAGGGAGGTGAATTTCCTTTTACTTTTTTTTTTTTTCCCTTAGCATCTTAATTCAGCTGCTCTCAACTCCAACCAGAAGTGCCAAAGCCACTCCAAGCAGCTCCTGCCACTTGTGTGATCAATGAGGCTGAACAATTAAACACTGCAGGAGCAGCTGCCAGCACAGGCAGCTTTTAACACTCAGCACCTTGCTGGCTGCTGCTCTGATGTGCTCCACTGGATTTAGCACAGCTCCTCCAGGCTCTGGGAGAGACAGCAGGGCTCAGAATGACCCACACCCGATGGGAGCAATGGCAGCACCACAGCTCAACTGCCACTCCAGACAGCTCTTGCTGGCAAACGCTGATACTGGTCATTATCACCCCCAGGGCATTCCTAGGGCCCCTGCTTCACCAAGTCATGGAAACAGATCAGAAACTTGAAACTCCACATTATTTCCACTGCCTCAGCATCTCTGGTGAACTTTGATCAGCAGCAAACTAACATACATGGCAAACCAGTACATTCTTAGTATCATCAGGGCTAAGAGAATAACCAGCATCTTCAAACCTTGCCGCTCTCATCTCTTATTAGCTGTCTTTAGGAGCATGGATCTTACAGACATAATAAGTACTTAAAATTAGTCCCATTAAACCAGCACTCTCAAATCTGCAAATAAATCCAAGCTCAACACAGTGGCTAATATTTCTAAAACAAAATATTAAATTCCACAAATGCCAGAAAACTTCAATAGTGCCTTCTCAACCATCACACAAAGCAAAAGTGTTATTGCAAAGCATCAGGAAGATTTTGCTGGAGGTAATGATTTGTATCTCTCACCTTTGAGACTGCTCAGAATCTTCTCAATGCTGCAGCAGTGGAAAGCACAATTTCATGCTTCAAAAGTAAAGGAATACCCTGAGTGGGCAAAGGTTGGAAACTGGACTGACGAAGGCGTCGCCTCCACAGATCCACAGCACAGGAGATGCAAACCCACAGCACTGCCCAGCACTGCTCTGCCCTCCCAACCCACTGCCAAATCCAGAGAATTTCCTTCCAAGGGTAAAGAACATCTGAGCTCTAACTGGAAAAGCCTTAACCAAGAGTTTCTCATTGCATATTACAGCAAAGCCTTTCTGAGGTTGTGATCGATTCACTGAGTGGGAAAGCTGCCTGGAGTTTCATGTTTCCCCCTTCCCCTAAATCAGAGCCATATCCAGCCTTGAGCATTCTGTTTTCCCCAGCTGAAGTCAGAGATTATGAGTGCCAACTCTCTTGCAAATAACACTCCATTACTTTACATTAGCATATTACAATATCAGACATCAGCCCAAGTGTAATGGGCACAGATCAATAACCAGATCCTAGAAAAGCTGCTCTGCTGCTTCTTCCATCTCCCAAATGAATCACAACTCCACAGCTTTCCTGAACTGCTCACAGCAAACTCCTCTCTCCAAATGTCAGGACAGCAAGGTCTTGACAGATGAAAAATTGAGATGCTTTTATCCCCTTACATTATTAGCCAGCTCTCTGGCAGTAAATGGGAGGCTGAAAGCATGCAAGAGGCTTTGTTGCTTTCATTTCAAGTTTATCCCAGTTTTTTCTACTGTTTTTTCCCTTTACTAAGCTGCCCCAGCACGGTGCAGAGAGCTGCCCTGTCCCAGCCCTGCCCACGAGAAGGAAGCTGCTGGTTTCAGCTTTTGCCAGCACAGCTGTTTGTATGAGCAGTACAGAAGCCTGCACACAAACAGTAGAGGGATTAATGCAGAGCAGGCACTAACACAGAGCTGTGCCCCACAGCTCAGGCAGGACAGCACATTCACCTCTGCCTGCAAAGGTGCCTCTCCAGCAGGAGCAGGATGAACAGCTCAGGGTAACAGCATTTCCCCCCAAGAGCTGTTGGGGGTGAGCAGCAGTCCTTGCTCAGAGCTTCCCTCCCTTTGGAGTTCTGTTTCACCGAGGGCATTCTCTATTCCTTACCTCATCCTTGCCATCCTGCCTTGTTTCCTGGAGTGCTGTGCTGCTCTCAGCACAGGGCAGGGGCACAGAACCCTCTGTGGAAGGACAGGGCTCTGTCACCATGGGATGCTGCACAGCCACATCACAAAGTGGGAAATTATCCTTGAAAACACTGAAATGTTTGTTCCCTGCAAAGTCAGCAGGGATCCCTGAAGGCTTTCCAAGCTGGCTTGTAGTAATGTACAAATTATTTTAATGACACTTACTTAATCTCTGCAAACACCTCATTCTTCCTATTGGAGTCTGAGAAATAAAATAATCTCTTCCAAGAGGACTGATTTACTTTTGAGGAAGCAGCAGGACTCACACCTGAGCCCTTCTCAGCTAGGTGGGACACACCAGAGGAGAGGGAATCACCAGTGGGGGCCATCAGCCCTGGAGAGAGCTGATCCAACACACCCCAGAGGAGGGAGGATCCTGGCTGCTATCCAAGCCTTCTGCACCACAGCTTTCACATCTGCCTCTGCACAGCAGTGGTCTAAGTGAAAAAATGTCTCCCCTTGACAGCCTGAGGAGTGTTTCCCTGTGCCTCAAAGCAGAGCTTGACAGGAAGCTGGACTAAAGCATGAATTCCTTCTGCTGGTTTCCTGGCAGCCCTCTGTCCATGACAACACCAGGCAGCATTGGGAAACAGGATTATTTCACTTCCCAGCTGCCCACAGGGGTTTGAAAACAGCAGCAGAGGCAGTGGTGAGAGCAGCTGGTGCTACCTGTCCAGATCAAGCAGAGGAGCAAGAACCAGGATCTGTCACAGCAAGAGAATGGGACATTTCCATGTGCCAAACCCTCAGCAGGCAGCACAGGGACAGCAATGGCTGTCACTGCTCTGTGCCTTCAGTCTGTATTTAATCTGACTGCCCAAAGAGCTCAGTTTGCAGCAGGCTTAGAGGGGACATCTGTAAAGCAAGTTTCCTCCTGGGTCCAGTCACGGGAAAACAGCTCAGCACACAAATTAAGTCAGGGGCTGTGAATCAGCTGAAGGCTTGGGAAGTCAATAAGTGGATGATGAACACCTGCACTGGGTCACCTGGGGAAGGCAGGGCCAGATGCCTCTGAGCCCCTTTAGATCTACAGTTACACGAAACTTTCAATGCACAGCCTTAAAAGATAATGTACAGCAACAAAAGCAGACAAAGCACTCTTTAAAGTGATCGTGGCATTTGTAAAAGAACTGCAATCCAAGGGATGCCACATGGTT